CCTGGCTGGTCAGAGTTTGCAGCAGCAATCACATTCAGAAAGCACACACAAGCAGGATTCAAAATAATAATAATACACAATACAATACCAAAAGCAGGCTTGCCAAGGTAGCAGTAAATACAAGCAAAACACAAGCAGTTTCACTTTCATTCCTCAGCTAAGCCTGTCTCCTTGTTGCTCACGTGGCAAATCCTGTTTCAGAGTCCAAATAGCCCTCATTGGCTGACTTAGTTGCTATGCCTATTCATTGATCTTGTTAACGTGTTCTAAGTCAGGAAGCTAGCCTGCTGAATACCATGCAGATTTTTTTCTTCTTCTTAGTTTCCTCCCCAAAAACTTAGCTGTGTCTTATACTCTGGAGCTTCTTATACTCTGAAAAATACGGTATATGGAGCACATAAATGCCCTAGTTAAAAAACTTGCACATTTTAAAAGTCTAACTTTGAAAGTGATTTTTGCCAAATAAGCAACGTTCATAGCTTATAGCTTTTGATTTCCTGACAGCCTTAATAAATATGTCCTCACATAATCATGTTAAACCAGAAATCTTAATTTGTCAAATAATAATGATTGTCAATTCTCAAAATTGTTCAGAGGAATTTTCTTTACTGGGGTGTAAAAAAAACTAGTACATTTAATTATTAAAATTGTAGGTTATTATTGCTACAAATTATTTATTTCATGGTATATAAATATTTATTTAATTAAATTAATTAATATTATTTATTATTTAATTCAAGAAATAATTTACTTTTCCTCTTTCAGAAATATGGTTATGAGAGAACTTGCTCCACAATTTCAGATCCCTTGGTCTATACCTTTGGAAGCAGAAGATATTCCTATTGTGCCAACCACCTCAGGGACAATGTAAGAAGAACATATTTGCATACAATTGCACCAAGATTTTTTTTTTCTTTATCCATGTTAGGTTCTGTTAATATACATATTCCATAGATAGTAACTTGTCAGGTTCAAGAAACCAAGAACAACACAGGGATCTTTCTCAGAGTAGTTTCTTTATTATTGCTCACCAATAACCAGGAATTTTGGCACACTCTGCATAACTATTAGATAAACCTTATGAAAGGTTGGGGAGGATCCTCTCTGGTCTCTTCCTGCATGTCAAAGATTCCAGGCTGACGCCTCTTTGGTCCTTGGGAAAGATCCCCTCCTCATACGACACTGCACCACATTCCACCACATAACTATAGCAGAACAGCTGAGCCTATCAAGTGGAAAGCTAGATATCTCGTCCTCTTCCCCCAGTTCGTCTGTGGACTTCACGTTTTGGTTTAGGTTATGGGCTTGTGATTCTCTCACAACCTATACCAGTGGTTCAAAGCTTGCGGCCCNAATTGTTGACATAGTTATATTTTTCCCTGTGTTGCACAGCTGTATATAACCTGCTCCCCGGTTTGTAATTTTTTTTTTAAAATCAAGGTTTATTATATAATTAAATACAATGTAAATAAAGATGAAAAGGGACAAGAGTGCAGGGTTTAAAAAAGGAGAGAAAAAAGATGACCTTTCTATTATCAAATACTTGTACAGTAATCTCAGTGATTTGATAACTTTCTACACTTGGTTGCCTCTCTGAATTACTTATTTTTCTTCCAATTACTTGAATGTTTGTTTACCTTGCTCCTCTTTGGACATCTTTGGAGCATAGTTGCTTTATAAAGTGAATGGTTTTGTCTAAATACTCCAGAATAAGTTTTGGAATCTCTGTCTGGCCTTTGATATTGCTTGATCTTCTGTTCTTTAATTCCTTCTTCTGGTCAAGGAATATAGGATACACTATAGCCTTCTCTATCTAAGGGCTCTATTACCATGCCTGATCTGGCAGTTCTGGGTACATTCTATTGTGTTTTAATTTGTCTCTTTTTTCTCCATGGAAATGTAAAATTCTAAATCAGGAAAGCTGGAAATGGAACTGGCTAGGAAGTGAAACTACACCTAATGCCATGTATTTAACCAAGAAGATTTTACTTGCTTTGTCTTTTTCTTTTACACTCAAATATAGGTGTACACTGTAGGTCCAGATTATGCACATGCAGAAGCACGTAAATCCCCTGCTCTGGATGGCAAGGTGGAGCGTGATAGTGAAGGCAAAGAAGTGAGGTATCCAGTGATACTTAATGCAAGGGAAAAGCTAATAGCTTGGAAAGTATGCCTGGCATTTAAGGTAACAAGATTACAATAACATATATCTCAGAGCAAATTATTTTCTGAAAGTATTGCCTATTCCAGGGGTCAGAACCTTTTTCAGGCCTTGGATACCATGGAGTGATTTCATGTGACGGGCCAGATAACCACCCCCCCCCAAAAAAAATGGTCAAATGTCATGAAGTTTAAAATGGGAATGCTAATCTCATAAGATAAGGCCATTAAAAAAATAATTAAAAAATTTGTTCAGTTTTGCAAAATAGCAAAATTATGCTATAGCAAGCAGCTCGGCATTGATAAGATCATACTGCTGACCCCTTGCATCAAAAATGTGCAGAAAATAGTTTTTGTTGTTTTTAATATAGAGGATATCTCCTGCTTTCCAATTATTACAGATTTTTTTTCTGTGGTTTTTTCTCCTGCTTTGATCAGCTGAGAAAATCTTAAGAAAATCTATAAATGAAATTTATTTGCATCAACATGGGAGTAAGCCCCTATAAACAGATGTTTTGCATTTCTTAGGGCTGTTTGTACTGTTAGCCTGTTTTATAAAGTTTTTTTGGGAATTTTAGAAAGAATAGGACAAGAGTTTATATGAACGTTAAATTCAAAAAGATGCCTCTCCAAATGTCCCTTTTAAACATAGATTAAGACAGATAAACATTTAAAGAGATACAAGAAAACAGAACACTATCATGTAATATTTTAGATTAATAATATGTGGAATGTTTTGTTTCTGCTTCATAGATTTTTTGAGTTTTACATGTCTGTACATGATATTTACAAGTTTTGAGCATGTTGTTGATTTCTCTGATAGCAAACAGTTTGTGGATTTGACTTGTTGCGTGCAAATGGACAGTCTTATGTCTGTGATGTCAATGGCTTCAGTTTTGTGAAGAATTCTATGAAGTATTATGATGATTGCGCTAAAATCCTTGGGTAAGAGTTTAAAGAACTTGAGTGGGCTTTGGGACACTA